CCCCAAAACCCCAAAACCCCAAAACCCCAAAACCCCTACTAGGCTGGTGTCCATTGATCAAAAGCGTATAATTTTTGTATAAATATTTCAAATTCATAATGGGAAGCCTTAAAAGCAAGAATAATGTAGAAACTATCGATACTGGAGGAAGGCTCAGCAGGGCAACTTTCTTTCTACATTACCCTATAGGAATCAATAGGTTTGGTATTGTATGGAAAGCCGAACATCGAACCTCTCATGATATCTATGCGTTAAAACAGCTGAAATAAATCGGAAATTATTAACCAGAGATGTCTCTCCTCTGTCCTTGAAGAGAAATAAAAACTTATCCCAGCTTAGGAATTACTTTATTGCGAATATTCATTATGCATTCCAGGATTCTGAGTATTTGTACCTTGCCGTGGAGCTCGTGCAGGGAGCTGATTTAGGATATCACATGCGGAAGAAGAAATTCAAAGAGGAGCAAGCAAAGTTTATCATGGCCTCTATCATCATGGGTCTCGAATACTTACATAATAACAATATTATTCACAGAAATCTTACGCCAAGTAATGTATTGTTTGATAAAAAGGGTTATGTCAAAATTTCAGATTTCTTGCTCTCGAGGCAGTGGGAGGAGCATAATGCCTCTGAAACCTCTGGAATTCCTGGCTATATGGCTCCTGAGATAATGTCTCGTCAAAATTATGGATATTCTTCTGATTACTTCTCTCTTGGTGTCATCGGTTATCAATTGATGCTCAGGAAAATGCCTTACCAAGGGTTGACTAGGAAAGAAATTATTAACCAAATTAAGAGAAAGCAAATACAACTTAAGAAGCATGAAATTCCAGAAGGATGGTCTCTCGAATCAGCAGATTTTGTGAACAAATGCCTACAACGAAAACCAAACTGTAGGTTAGGCCTGAACGGGCCTATGGAGCTGAAGCAGCATGTTTGGCTCAGAGATTTTGACTGGCAAGGGCTACTTGAGAAAGAAATTCCTGCAAATTTTATTCCAAAGACTAACTTATTGAAAAAGCCTCACAAGAGGATTAATATTAAGAACATAAATTGCAGGATAGAGTATCCTAAATAACGAAGGGGAGCGAACCCTCAAAGTGTAAGCCTAACCCTCATTCTTTAGAGAGGTAGATAAATAACGGAGTAGTGCTTCGCAAGATCGACCAGGGCACTGGCAAAAATCAGCTTGTCAATGGTGTCATGGACAACGGAAATTGGAGCAAGACTCTTACCGAGGATAGGGTCAAGAAGTACCTCCAGAGACCAGAAATCCAGAAATTATTCGAGAATTACAATTACGATTATGATAAAGAGAAGCATAAGTATCAACACTTTGAAGAGAATTCTGAACAGTCTTGGTACCTCGACTCGCAAGGTAATATCAAAGAGAAAAAGAAAGGTGAAGAAAAAGACGAAGAAGCAGAAGGTGACGAAGAGAAATCATCAGTAGAAGAGTACATCGACGATGATGATAAACAACCCCAAGAAGACGACGAGGCTCATGAGATCAATACTGGCACTAATGCTCAGGAAGAGGAGAAGGACATGATCTCTGAAGTTGATAAGTTGCTATAATTTTCTATTTCAACTCCCACTGGTTGCTTGGGGTTTTGGGGTTTTGGGGTTTTGGGGTTTTGGGGTTTTGGGG